TATAAATATAAATATATGTATATAATATAGTAGCAGAATAATAAAATAACATAATAATATATATACATATACATACATATAGGAACACACGCAGAAACACAAACACACACACACATATATATAATACACATATGCATATAGCTATACATATAGATACATACACACACAAACACACACACACATATATATAGATACATACATTCACATACACACACACACATATATATATATATATATACATGTATATGTATATATATATATATACATACACACACACACACACACACATATATATATGTATATCGGTATATATAGATATACAGATTTAAGTATTGGTAGAGGATATACACTTAGGACAAAATCGCAATAATCTATATGCGTTGTGGTCATTTGATTGCCGAAGTTTTCATTTTTGTGTCTTTATTTTTGTCCAGTTGTACATAAATGTACGATTCGATGTGTATTACTTCACATAGGTGTTTGAAACCAGAACACACACGTTCCTGGGAATGCTTTCAGTCTTGCTACATGAACTGAAAGCCATTAATTTTGCTTCAACGCGAATGAGTTGACGCTTATAAAACGGCACAAGTTTGGTATTTTCATATCTGTGTTCGTGTGAACATGCAGCCAATGCGTATCAAGCAGTTCAGGGCAGGCAACTTACGTACGAAACATAGGGTATGCAATAAATTTGCACCGTTTGTCCGCGTAAAGATAAATATGTTCAGCAGATATGTGCAATCACGCAGTTTCAAACGAATAGACGGGACAATGAAGAGACAACTTGATACCATCAGCCAGGAAGATGGCTACACGTGTTCGTATATACTTGATAAAGAAGTTACGTATCTAGTTGATAAAGAAGTTAGCAAACGACAACCGATACTGTAAAGCACAATATAACGATCAACAAGCATTCTTGCCCATGTTCATTGTCTTCCTCTAAATGCGTGCTTAATATTGTACTCTACATTCAAAAAACAAATCTAAATCGTTTGAAGATATTATTACCTTTGCAGTATTCAGCCGCGACGTTCCCGGATGCCGCGTCCAAATCCTCCATTAACTTTCCGAAGCGCATTCCACCGTCGAAGCTCTCGTATGCAGCCCTGAACGTTTCATTCGATCCGAAGGGCAAAAGCAACTCAAATTTGCCGGAACGTTCGGAATCTCCGGCCTCATTTCTCATACGCCATAACCGTACCGTGGTTGGGGTTCGTAAGCCGCCATAGTCTTCCAGGCTTTCTGAAGCGGTCGCCTGTTTGGCACACTGCCGGTTGTATGTGGCACAGAAAAATCGCAAACCTTTTCTAGGTTGCAAAAACCTAGTGGTGGCGGAGAGCATACTTTTGTGAACTAGTGGATAACCAGGACATATCGCTTGGACGAAGGGATGCCTCAGGGTAGTCATTATATGGCCTTCTTTTCAGGTATAACGAGTTAACCACTACGTAGGTGTGTTTTAGTGAGCTGAAAGTAAATACATGTATTGACGAGTCTATGACTGTCTTAAGGTCTCTTGAGTCTTGATTGTACATATGCATTGTGGAATACCTAACTAGGAGCAGACATCAAAAACCCGATGATTTAGAATATTTATAGAGGTTGACCCAGAGAGTACATTGAGGAATCATTTTCATTGGCAGTTAGATGTCGCAAATTCGTCGTCTTGACGAGTAGTAAACGTAAATATGTTTAATCTCATCCCGATCGGGCCAATGTTTCAAAAGTTATGATGTTTTCAGTTTGTACATACCAGTGCTGGGTCAAACTACTAAAACTAGCCACATGTAGGCATTATATCAGTCTATCCATACCCAACAGACCTTTCTGGCTGGTACAAACTGAAATCCATAACTTTTAAACCAATAGTCCGATCGGGATGAGATTAAATCCACATACGTTTTATAGTCTGATCGAGGTTAAGCTGGGTGAAATTAATCAAGTCAGGGGGCTGTCTGATAGAACTCCCAGAGCAGGTCGTGTATTAATATGACGAGTATCTTTTTGTATTCGCAATACTTTGTAATATCGCAGTATACTACCCATTCTGAGCGGCTGTGCACCAATAAACCGAACTCAAGAATCGATTACTCTTCAACGTCTCGGTATTGTGTTTGAATCATTCATTTATTGGTCCTAACTCGTTATATTTGCATACTACCATTCGACATTGTCGGGGTTCTCCACACTCGCCAGCTCTATCTCCAGGGTTGACGTGGTTGCCGGACTAGCTGCGGCATAACTCTGGCCGCTGTTGAATGGTTCACCCATACGACCATTCACAGTAGGGTATGCATCCCTAATTACTTGTTCTGAATCCTGGCTATGCATAGAATTTAAACTCTCCTCCGAATTCTGCGAGCCTAGCCCCCTGCCCAGGAATGTTTCTAATTTGCGGCAGTCTCCTAATTTCAAGCCCAGATCGCGCATGTCTTGCCGCGTGAGCAGGTCTAGTGTTACGATGTCTGCGACATTCTCCTCAGCGAAAGTCTCCTTTTGCATCCAGTTGAAATTTTACACGCAGAGTCAGATTACGAGTGAGTAATTTGGACCAGTATAGCACATACACAGGTATGTATGATATCAACACATGAACGATTCAACATGCGATTGTACATGCCAGTACGGCTATCAATCTGGTACGAATAACAAAGAGCACAAGTGCCAACAACACCTCTGGAGGCGAAGCACGCTCATTGAGAGACGAATAGATTTCTCATTGCCTGATTAATATATATAAGTAGGTGTAAGGAAGATTAAATACTGCTTTGGGGTTACATGACCGAAGCGATATAGCGCCTGAGCGTCATCGCCTTACTCTTGGTATTCGCTCCACGCAGAAATATAAAAGGTCGCTCGAGGTTGAATCAATTTTCAACGAACACACACTAACCATGAGGCATATGGGTCTTATGAAGGAGTTCTAGCGAAGGTTTACGACAGACGCAGTCTAAACAGTATGTGTATAGTACACTTCGTTTCACAGCCATCATTGACAAAACAAGTAGCAACAGCTGCCCCCCACCCCCCGACAAGCACCCAACAACTTACAGCGATATGTGTCAGTTCTAAGCGCTTCAGTACGGAATACAATTCCGAGGTGAGGCCTGACTGCAGCTTCCCGGATGTTGGGGTCAAGGCATCGAACTGGGCACTGGCAAGTTTCATGGCTGGACTGCTGGTGGTTTTACTCAGTGTGGCGTTTGGGTTGTTGCCGCTGTGCTTGGCTAGCAGCTCGGCCAGGGCCTAGTATGAGGATAGGCATATAATTGAAATTCTGCATACTGACAAGAGTTTCCCAGACGCGGTATCAGGATCGGGATGTGCGGAATATGCGAGCAATACGCTGGCATTCACCTACGTAAAATACATGTATAAAGAGTATACGTCGTACTGTTCTGCTCTAGTATACAGCGACAACCATACGATTAAATACCACACCTACCTCGTGACCAAAGTCAAGTGCCAGTTCAATGGCGGACCGGTATATGGAGCGAGTGGCTTTGTAACTGTCAGAGAGGTTTGAGTGTGGCCGCGATGGCTCCTCCTGTCTGGGCGACGAATCCGCTCTGCAAAAGGGCACAGAATAATACAAGACTGACGAAAAAAATTCAAAGACTTTGAAATATGTGCACCCACAGGCATATTTAGATGTGTGTTATAGCAGATCTATACCGAAGATAAATCTCATATAAATCGCGAGAGTAGCCCTGTAACACATAGAAGATGTGACAGGCACATAGGAGTTATTTACTTGCATAAATTTTCATGTGTGTGATCTAATCTGATAATTTAATATACGGCACCCATGTAACTCTATAGCGGACACAGCTGTTGTTACAGGCCGCAATGAATCCTCTTGATTACAAGCGTATACTTCCCGATGATGAATGCACTAATGAATATGCACGCACATGGTAACATATACACACATGTTGGCCCTTCGCCGCTGCTACAATGTGGTACGGCAAAGTATGCTAACAGCACATGAGGCGCTCTTGTTGGCAGCATAGGCATGCCTCGAGCATAGGAGCGATTATCTTACAGACAGGTGTACAGGTACACAGGCACTACGCATCGATTCACCCACGAGTACATACTTTGGACAACATACACACACAGAGTTATTTACACCTGAATACACTTAACTGCATACACGCATACACATATGTTATATCCACGCAATCTTAGTCCACACAACCAGAAATAATTCCGTTGTTTGTTCGTTCGTTTTTATATTGTCCGCACCTGACAGTGTTCAGAGAGCTACTGATGCTCGAAAGTTTGGGAGACAACTCCGGACTTTCCAGAGGTTCCTCAGGTAGTGACCTGAACACTCTCTCTCCCGACGCAGTCTTCTTACCCATCGCCAGCGTGCGTTGGATCACATCTGACACTCCCTCTAATCGGCCACCCCATGAGGTCATGGGATTCTGCGATCCAGGCCTGTTGAGTGTACGAAAAGGGTATCGAGAGTAAGCGATTGACTAAATGTTTTTAGGTACCAATCAAATGCAGGATTTTGAGACCCTGCAAGATATACATGAGAAGTATGGTAAGACAGGGCGACTACAAGTGCCTGCTAGCCGTTACACTCGTGGTTGTAGTCGTGGCACGCGTCTCGTGCAATCCATAGCGCATCCACCTTGGCCTGTAGTGGAGTGAAGCAGCATGAAGGCCACATGATCGAGTGCCTATGAGACAGTTGCAACCGTGCAAGTAGTGGCTGTGTTTGTCTGTGACAAGTGATTGTGCCTCCACGCCATGGGGTCACGAGATTTATGAAACCCAGTCCTTTTGCGGATACGGATATACCACTGGGACTATACAGTAACACGGCGTGCCTCTGGCATTGGCGGCTACACTGGCGTCTTGTAGCGAATAAATGGGGAATGCAAAATTATCGTGCGAGGGAGCGCAGCCGAGGCTCGGGGCTTGTGCGACTATACAACAAGTGACAATGTGTGGACTCTGCGCCAATTGCGCCCACAAATAGAGTGAATAGAACATGCATGAGCAAAGTTACACCGTTGACTGTTCATATACACACTGAAGCAAATGCCGCGCATACGGGTATGTTTGAGTACGTTTAAATCCGCATACAATGTGCAAAACACAGCGTACAAGGTATGAAACCTGGTGACATACAGAAACATCACCCATCAGAAACACCTGCAATCACTGCAATTGGCCATACAGAGACTACTGCCATACCTTTCTAAGTAGTTGGCAGCATCGCTAGACGAGTGCATTATTCTGTTGGATTCAATTTGATCCTGCGGGTTCAACGTAGGACATGAAGGCATTGTGAGATTTGTGCCTTATTTATAAATTTTATGAATTTTGTGCCTGATTCGAGAGGGAACAGAAAAAACCCCCCCACATTTTCACAGTCGCATGCTCGACCTCGCGTTCGAAGCTGTCTGAAGTGCTGGATTAGGTTGACTGGCTGTACTATCCGCATATTCAAGCATACGCATTTCTAATACTCAATCAAATCCCGGGAGCCACTAATGAATTTTTTAAATCACTTAGCCCCTTACCTTTCTATCATATAGAAATCAGGGCTATTTTACGTAGTCAGGGATATTTATGTAGTCAGGGCTATTTTATGTAGTCAGGGTTATTTTACGTAGTCAGGGCTATTTTATGTACATTTGCAAATCCATATGCGCGACTGCATGTGACTTCACATCATTATTCCAGCAACTGAAACGACCGTACATGTGCTCAGAAGAAACAATGTGCATATCAACCAGTGAATGGGTGATAACAGTCCACTATGGATGGTATGTATAATGGTAGGCTCCCGCGTATGTGATAATTATATTCTCGATAGTAGGGTTGCGTGCTCTGTAGATTGAGTGCTCTATACACTGTATGTACAAGTCCAAGTTCATTTGTACTCTTATTTAGTTACCATAAGAGAATTTGCATACACATAGTGGTACGCGTCGGGTATCCATACGTGGCCATATATGCCTAGTTTCCTTGTCTTTCAATACATACCAACCACAATACACACACACACACACATACACACACACACACACACATATATATATGACATAAAAGTTATGAACATTCAAGCACCTCCACTTCATATCATCGCAAGTGCGCATACCTCGTTCTCGAAATCGATGTAACTTTTAGTGTTCACATCCGCTCCCATCTGGACGAGGGCCATGGCCGCTTCTGTATGGCCTAGTATACTGGCAACGTGAAGGGCTGTGCAGTTGAAGTCACTGGGCGTGTCTACCTCGAAGAACACTGTATGTTGGAGTTAAGATAATGTTAGCCAATGAATTATTAGAGAATGATTAGCGCATTGGCCTTGAGAATTCTATTTAATTCAATACCGCGAGAGAGAGAGAGAGAGTGAAATGCATATAAATATACGTATATCATATAGATAATTGTCAATATATAAATATATATCCACACACACAGAGACCTACATATCCACACACACAGAGACCTACATATCCACACACACAGAGACCTACATATCCACACACACAGAGACCTACATATCCACACACACAGAGACCTACATATCCACACACACAGAGACCTACATATCCACACAGTACTATATTCAAGGCAATTACCTCGACCCTCCCTTTCCATCTGCAGCAGTGCAATTCCGGCAGCCTGGTTGGTAACAGCCGCGGCGTGCAGTGGTGTGACGTTGTGCACGAGATTGATATCGTGCCGCGCCGAGGGCGGTCGTACACCACAGTATGTGAAGGCTACAATGGATGGGATGGGGAGACAGAATGCGAATGAGCTTAAACGACAGCAGTGTGAAAACCTGACGACGGGCCAGTACTCGTTCTGGTTATTCTAATTACACTTTTGCTGCTCAGAGTTTGCGATTGATATTAACAGCTTCGTGCATGGGGAGCAGATTGCAGACAACACCTACAAAGTCACGAGGTGCCGTGTGCTCTTAACATCATTACTGATAAGCGGACTATAAACAGCGTTGGGACTTCTCCTCGATCACAAACGTAGTGAAACGGATACGACTTCTCAGCAGTGGAGTGGATACTTAAAACATCTCGGTGATCTTGCTTCGATACTAGGTTTCACCGTTATAGCGCATGTGGCCCACTCATTGCCAACAAATATAACATGTACGGATGTATGCCACTAGACAGTAGGCTGTGATCGATGTACACTATACTCTATACATGCCCTAAATGTATACAGCACATCAAGTGAGACCAGCAATCAGAACTCGCAAAGGGCAGTGAGTACAAGCGATTGCAGGACTCTTGAAAACGGACACAAACAGAATACCAATGCACCTGCGACAAACCAATAGACGAAAGGCTTTCTGCAGCATCACCGATTACTTAATGATTCAAGGAACGACACACAACGGTATAAGCTCGCATAAGGGGTGATCTAGAAGTTTATCGCATATTGCATTTGTTGGACATGCAGTGTATTTAGCTACATCTGCGTTGTGCCCAGGATAAAACGATGTGCATACAAAGGCGTGAGATTTACGGTCACGGTGGCGTGCAGTGGATTGTACACCAAACGAGGTGTCAGTAACAAACAAGAGTATGCGTGGCATACATGATGGTGTGATAACGTCGTCGATTCTTGCATCATTAGCTATGCAGTGGATTATGCAACACATAAGACAGTTTCGCTAGACAGACATGCTCACTAATATTTCTACACATACACGTACAGGAACACAGGTGCGTAACATACAGTGAGATGTGGTGACTTCCTCGTAGGTCGCGTTTTTCAATATGTACTGAATCATGTTCGAGTTGCCAGTCAGGCACGCCTGTCGTATTGCCAACGAAGAGCGTGTGATTGTGAGTACATAAGCGATGCGGGGCACGTTTATCAGGCACATGGTGAACACTGACAACAGATGTCAAGTATATTATTTAAGCTCAGCTGCACCGTGTCACCCGTTCCCAGTAAAAACTCCATGATATCAATAAAATACACATTCTTATCCGTACACAAACAAAATGAAGCCTAGAATACTAAGCGGCGAAGATATATGATATTTGCATATGCGACCTTAAGTAAAATATATCATCACCGACACGCATACGTATCCAATAATGCGGGAAACACAGGGGGTCATGGAGGTATACCTCGTACAGCATCGAGTGCACATCGGCGTTATCAGTCTTCAGCAAATGCTGACAGAAAAAGGCAAGCTGCGGCTTCCTATCCATAGCGGAACGGCAAGTGTTTCGGATCAGCCCTGTCTTTTCGGGGGCTGTAGACGTGATGCGACGAATGAGTTTGAGATTGACATTGATAGCGCGGGATATTGCATAGGGACAAATGTATGCATAGTACGTGCTTCCCATAATGCATTGTGTGCCTACAGATTGGCAGAATAGAGTTTATGGTACTTCATCACCGATATATATCGCGTGGCTAAACACGCTAGCGCAAAGAATCTCTATAAAGTATGTGCTAGAAAAGCGTGCACGAATAAAATAGGCACACTGTGGGTACATCTGTCATCTACGATCTGGAAATGAATTCTATCACAGCAGCCATGGGTCACACAATTACATGAACCCAATCCATCCGTATGTGCTGAAGGGGATACATGAAGTACATGTCCGATGCAAACTTTACAGCCATGCATGTTCCAGACATACCGTCGTCCGCTATGAACTTGATCACTGCCAACATGCCACGCATGGCTAAGTGCAGCAGTCCAGTGTCCGATATATGGGACCGTGCCACCAATACGTGCGCCATGGCGGAGTCGTTGTTCTTCATGGCCAAGCCTGCGTAGGCGAGAGGAATGGTTTACTTTTGAGTGGACAAAGCACCAGCACTCGGCAGTATGGAAGCACTCACTACCCGACGGTCGTTTTACTGACAACAGCTCTATTTCGTGAGCTGCCAAGGACTATGAATACGATAGGGCATCAAATACACAATATAGATAGCCTACTTCCCGTAAATGAATTTAAGTATGCGGTCTTGTTCATTCAAACTATTGTCGATCAAGAATGATATATCTAGACACTATAAATAGAAGTTCAGAGTATACCCTCCCAGCGGACACCATCACAAGCGTATCAGGCACCCGTACTCGTTCAAAAGCATCTCGACAGTCTTACCTACAGGTGTCTGTGCGGTTGAGGTCTTCCCAGCCCACCCGGCAGTGGGAGTGTATCTGGGGGTAGAGCCGACAGCGTAGGAATCAGATCCCTTGGCGAGCAGGAAGTGCACCACGTCACTATTGTTGCTACCCACCGCATAGAAGAGAGGAGTGTAGCCGCATGGCAGGCTGTGATAGGAAGAGATTAAAGTGAGATGAGCGCCGATGAGACGTATATCTGGTCGGTTGCTTTCTCACGTCAGAGCTATGCGTATTTCAATACACGCATGGCATGGCGTACAGGATTTGAAGAGTGACGTGGTTCTATATGGTTCGTTGTGTACAGAGATATGGCGTAGAGGAAAACCCAGAGATCGCCCCTGTATCGCTTACAATGCAATTGAATAAGAAACGTGCTCTTTCGCTTCTTTTGCGATGAAATTGGACCTGGATGATTCTACTATAACAAGACAAATGAGCAAAACGAACACGATAATTTGGGATACCATAAACAATCCATGACTACAGCAATTAATATGCATTCTCGTCACATATTAAAGACAGCACAACAAATTCTTAGATACCCGCACACCAAATGAGGACTTTAGCGAGTGATTGATTGTGTGATCTCCGTCTGCAGTAGCACAAGCTATCAGGAATCGCAAGCATCCATCAGCTTCATGCTAGGCTTCATAAAACCCTACAACGAATACAAACCAAACCCAAGTGCCTGCGAGATCGCAGGATCAGATTAAGAATGTCAGATCTCAACTAGTCGATATCACTTTGTCATATCCAAACACCATACCCCCCCTACACGCAGCCCTCGAGTTGCGGACTCACCGACCCTAAACCCTGAACCCGAAAAATCAAACCCAAACGGACATACGGTGGGGTGAACGACGGCTTTCCCGATGGGGATGTGGTGCTTCGCTTGTGCGGTATACTGTGCTTCTTTGCCAGATCCAGAGCATACCCATTACCCGCTATTTGATTGGCCGCCAGGAGTTGCTCTCGAAGATGCTCGTCATAGGTCAGGAAGTCGCGTGCATTAAGACCACACTCAGTAGGCGAATGGTTCACCAGTACTTGCACCACTTGATAGTGTCCTCCTTTGCACGCGAGGTGGATGGGCATCTGCTCGTATGTGTGGAGACTTTCCGTGGGTGTTGCCCTGTGGCAATCGTGCACGTACATGAGTTGCATTAGAGCGAGCTGGCTGACCACTTGACAAGATGCTTACAGAAACAACCAACTAATAATAATAAGCCTCCGGTACTCTGGATACTATATAACCAGTGCGGCTCGAAGTACATGTGCATAGGAACCTACCATACACTTTGTATCCTCTTCGTTATATCTGCCTTATTCCTCAGCAGCACATATGCCACCTGGCTGAAGCCACGGTCGCATGCGAAGTGGAGGGATGTCCATTCTGTACACGAGCGAGAAGGTAAGTGAAGAAAAGTTATACAAACAGCACGCAAGCGTCACACTACTATTCGACACGTAGCTCCAATAACCAGTCAGAAGCAGAGAAACACCAGGGCACATGTATACATCAAACCATTGGATGTTGAATACCATGTGTAAAAATCAGAAGGCTACAGTTGAAAGGTATGCGATGGTCAAAAGTGGTAATTAGATATCCTATGTGGGACAAAGTCTGCAGCAATGACCCCTCTTTCTATTCATCTCTAGCTAATATGAAGCGCAAGCAGTATACATTTGAGAACAAAAAAATAAATACAACAATAATAGTAGGTGATTAAACTAGGACCATATAAAACACAAGCTATCATGTGTAGGTTAAGACCTCGGCACATTCTCCAATGTAGAAAAACATGTATCCACCCGATAAACGTAAATATACTATCGTCAAACATGTGCGGATAGAGACTTTTGTCGCCGGGTTAAATAGAGCACTTGAATCTGCGCTCATACTCATGAATTCTCACAGAACCTTGCTAATCCGGACGAAAAGCATTGTATGTCAATACATATATACCTTCGATCTCATAGTCAAGATCCGCCGATTTTTGTGCATCATACTTCGTTCTATTACGCATAAAATTGGTGGTGGCATTGACGTCGGCGCCATCTTTGATAGCCCTGTCGACCTGCGAACGATAAAATCTTGACATTTAGTAGAATAACAAGCCTACATACAAGTTTAAGGTATACAATTACGTATATATCTGCATGAAAATAAGCGCATGTAATACTATCATAGCATGTAATCTATTTTATAACTGAAGAGTATACATATATATATAAACATACAAACCAGTATATATATGTATATATATATACATATATATATATATACACACACACACACACACACACACACACACACACACACACACACATATATATATAATATATATATATATATATATATATATATATATATATAATATATATATATATATATATATATATATGTATATATATATAATATATATGT